ACAGAGGAGGAAGGGGGAGCTATAATGCTTGTCAACCTACAATATTCCTTCAGAAATTCTAAAAGAAAAGCAAAATACATTTTAATAAGAAACTTCATTTGAGATGTTACAGTTTAAGAACCCTGCAAGATTTTAACTATGAGTAAAAAGCAAGGTGACAGTCAAGGCTTAAGACAGTTTGGGAAATGTAAAGAATTTGTCATTACCGAGAAAAATGTAAGAATACACATTATGGGAAAAGACTGTTGGGATGTTTCCATATTTATTGTTTTACTTTTATGTATGTAGATTTAACTCCAGCTAGCAATGGACTTGAAAGTCACAGCAAAGGAAACTATTTTGTTTCATCAAACTATATAAAACAAGCTATAAGTTCCTGATATGAGGGAAAACTTTGAGCAAGTGAGCACCAACTTCAACCATGATTTTCTACAGTTAATTACCAAAACAATTTAAACATTTAAAATATTTGATTTTGTGCATATTGAAAATGTGCAATATTTTTTTTACAGCATTTCCATTTAAAATAACAATTTCCAAAGAGATAGCTGTATTTTTAGCTGCTTTAAATAATCATGTTTAACATGCATTTCTAGGGAAAAAAAATCCAAATCCATTTGGCTGATTTTTCCTATCTATCCTTTGAGACTCTAGATCACAACATTATGTCAACTCTTGATTTTCCCTGAATGGTTTATCCCCTTTCTAGATTACCTTAATAACTCAGACTTTTCCTTTCACTATCTTGGCAATTTCCAGGCTTCCCAAGGTAGAGCAGGTTATAATTAGACCAAGGTATGATGAATATGTTTCCCAATGCATATATTTGCCAAAAATAATTTTTGTACTGTCTGTTTTATATCCATTTAAAAATTCTTTACCCCATCATCAGTTCAAATAAAGCTTGATTAATACCTGAATTTTTACCATAAACACTTCATCTTCCCAATTCTGATATTTAAAAACCTATTCTATGTAGATAAAAATTTGAATATACTTAATTCAGTTTTAAATAAAAGTGTTATCTGCACTACTTCAAAGTTCTTTTGCTTTAATATATGGTAAATAAGAATTAAACATAAGAAAAACATATATATTGAATTGAAATGCCCATTAAGAATGTTTACAAAATTATGCATATTTATTTTTAAAAATCTGATAATGAAACCATAGAGTACAGAGCTCTGGAACTTCATGTATTAGTCAGCAAGAATATAAATACACTCTCTTTCTCCCTTTCGTTATCCTCTGGCACTTAAAAAAAAGTACTTGTGAGTTATCAACGTAAGTATTTTTTCAAGAGATGCTGTTACAAATAAAAATTTAAAAATTATTTTATTGTAGAGTAGAAAATATGAACAAAGATTTTCACTATTTTTCTTTGGCTTCAGAAATAAAATTTATTTTCATTTCCTTCTGAGATTTTAAAGACTTCTGTTTCCTTCCTAGTATACAAGAATTTCCCCACATTTTTAAACACTAACCTGGAGAGAACGTGCTCATCTATACCACACAGGCAAGGATCAGAAGCGTACATACAAGTAGGGAGGATAGGAAGCAGGCAGTAATGAAACGGATTGTCTGCAAATACTTAGAATAAAACAGACTAAAAGTTGGCTTACTTTTTATTATCACCATGCACCAGTGATAGTGTCAAGAGACAGTACATTCTCTAGGATGAAAGGTTCCAACTAGCATGCTCCCCACCCCTAGGGACCCTCCCCTCTTCCCCACTTCTGTAAGCCACTGGAGACTACAGGTCTTTATCTTAGTCTCCTGGCTTATTTTTCATAAGATGTTCCCACCTCAGAAATTAACTGATGAAAAAGCACTGCCTTATACTCTATCAATGGTTTTGGCCTTTAACTAATTTTTTTCATACCCCAATCAATGTTTTGTGTGGCTTTATATCTAGTTGCCGGAAAAGCAAGGACAAACATAGGACCACTAAAAGAACACAGACTATAAGAGAAAGCAAGATATTTAAGTAAAGCATCAGGCTGCAGCTTTTTCACAGACATTAATTAAAACTAAGTCACGGGTGAATGAAAAAGTCCTGAGAATCAGGGTTGCATTTGGGAAATGTAGTTATATTAATATTTAAAATTTAATTAAAATTGTAATAAATGTATATGAGTTGAATGAAGCTCATTTCAAAGGGGAATGGTGAGTCAATATTCCAGCTGGTATTTTTCTTATTCAATTCTCAAATAGTCACCTGAAGATACTTTTGGGAGCAAAGTTGTAAGACTTCAAGATGACTTTCTATTGAGACTGAAAAAATCAGTAATAAGTATACCACACAGTTTACAAAGCGCTTCCCATAAAACACAGTATCTTGTTTGAGCTACAAACAATCCTGGGAGTCAGACACTAGAACTAGTGGGAGGTAGTACATACAACGGAGGACAGAATACTGGCCGTCGCATAGTAGCCACCACAGGGCAACTGTGTGAGCTGCTCTGCACCTTATTTCTCTGCATGAGGAATGGGGAGGATCCATGGCCCTACCTAATAGCTGTTGTGGAATTATATGAGATAATACATCTAACTCTTTAATATAGTACCTGGTCTATGGTAAGTGCTGAATAAATGCTATTATTACCATCATCATTATTTTACAGGTGAAGAGACAGACCAGGATAGGTTAAATTTAAAGTCACATGATGATTACTAAGTACCTGGGCTAGAAGCAGAATTCTAGACTTGGGTATATTCCTATGACCCTGCAGATACCTACGGATACCTACTTTTAGAGTATGGAATACCCTCTGCACTATTTCTGAGAGCTTATTTTTTGCAGCAGAAAATACCATTTGACTTTGACAAATTCAGTAATTTTATTAACATCATTTTCTTTTTAAAAACACACAATTAGGGTAGAAACTACAATCTAGAGCTATTAAAAAAAACTGTCTTTTCTTTAAACCTCAGAAAAATGGAAATAAAATTTACTAGTTGGTAGGTAGAAGAAAGCCTGCAAGCTCTGTGGGTGTAGGGATATTTGTTTACTGCTAAATCTCAAGACACTAGTAGGTATACAAACAGTTGCTCAATGAATAAATATTTAAACTGAAAAAGTCAACTTTAAAACATGTCCTTAACAGTAAGATTTACTTCACTATGACATGTTTTCCTTTCTATTTTTAACTATATAACTAAAAAGTAGAGCATATGGTCACCTACCATAAAATAGGGGACTTTTATAAAAAGATTCAGAGTAAGAAATAAAAGACTAAATAAGGCCTTGAATAGCTTTATTGAAATCTGTATAAATAAACATGCACATTTCAAATGTAAACTCAAGTGAACTCAAGTGCAGACAAAATTTTAACCTCTGTCATGCAGGAGGTTAGTTTACATTAAAAGAAAAAAAAAAGAAAGAAAGAAAAAGAAAAGGAAAGGATAAAAAGGAAAAACCCAAAACAGCTTTAAAAATACCAGGATGAAAAACCAGCTTTAATATCAAGGTATAAAGCAAAGCCATGATCAACATACCTCATTTATCCTGGTTAAATGCATTTTTCTTTCACGTTTAAATGCTAACATAAATAAATAATTTACCAAAATGTGCACTCACAGAGTGAACTTTTATTTACAATACACAATTTATAATCTATTGTATTTGATTAGTTCAAGTGAAGAACATTATACTTTTTGCTTTAATAATAGTGGGACACATAGCAATTTCTCAGGTAGTCGATATGTGAAACGTGCCCCAGCATTTATTTTCTATTAAAGGCAGTATTGTATGCCAATTGACAATACATTCTTTCAACTAGATCAAAGGGGAAAAAGCAGCAAATGAAAAATGTTTCAAATGTTCACACATATTTTTGGCATCTTGGATCCTTGAATGTGGTGAACTAAAATCAAATTCAAGGTTTGTATGTTTTATGTACTGTACAGGTTCTGACTCTGGAACATGCAATGCCAATTCTCTTGTAACAAGTTTCCTTCTGAGAAAAGCTGTAAGGCTATGGTGAATTCCATCAGGAACACACAAAGAAAGTTAACAGACCTACCTTTAGAGCCAATTGTCCATTAGTAATTTAAAGGCCAGAAAAAAATTTCTCCTCTAAGCTTGATGCAATCATTACTATGGATACAGAATACTATTAAATTTGTCTTTATATTACAATACTTGGGAGAGCTAAAAGTTGCCAAATTACCAAAAAATGGGGTAGAGAAAAACAGACAGCCAAAATTTTAATTTTGGACCAACACCAGATTTAAAGATATGCATTTTAAAGTAAGTCAAAAAGAATTTGAATATCTAAGGAATAGATCCCAACAGCAGTGAAAAATACTTACATTAACTGAAAAGTGACTTTTGATGAAGTGTGAAATCTAGAACCTGTTTTCACAGTATCAAGATGAACATAATATTCTGTTTTTTTATACTACAAAAGGAAATAACTTTTTCAAGACTGCTTCTTTTATCATGATTTAGTTTTATAACAGGCCCACACTGATTACCAGGTAAAGGTTTGAAAATTTGGTTTTCCAAGAATACTACTGCAGTATTTACGCCACATAGATACTGCAGCTAATTCTCATAGTAGTATATGTGGCAGCCTAATGCACATGAACTAGATTATCCAAGAACTAAGTTCAGCCATAGGTTTCTTGCAGTTATTATCTGAGCAAAATAAATGACCAACATCCACAAATTTAACATCTGTCATCAATTAACTCACATCCAAAAAATTAAAGAAAACATAATTCATCAAAACAGCAGCAAACTTAAAAGGGATTTATTTGTGATTTCCTATATATATTTAGCTTGTAAATACAAGACTGTAAATGTATTAAGAGACAATTTCTGTTAAAGTTTTCATTGTGTTTCACTTCAAGTACTGCACAAGTTAAAATCTGGTAAAGGACTTGCATTCAGCGATCTGAAACTCCCCATCTCAGACCGGTTTAGCGTGGTGGGTGGCCCACCACGCCAGCGGGCGCGGCCCGCAGGCAAGGCGCCCCCCGCGCCCCGGGCCTCATCAGTTGGTGTGCATGCGGTCCTCGCCGTCCATGTCGTTGTCATTGCTCTCGTCCTCGCTCTCTAACGGGGCGCCTGCGGCGGCCGAAGCACCTCTAGGTTCTCGGTCAAGGGGGAAGAAGCCAGTTCCACTGAAAGTGTCCTGCCTCTGGTAGAACAGTACATATGCTGCTTTGGACTGTTAAAACAAAGAATTTTAAAATGGTTATGACTCTCAAAGATCACATTAAATACAGAGTGAAGTTTTAGCTGATAGCCAATTTTGGTGACAGGACATAAATCAAGAAAACCACACATGGTCAAATGGAGGTTATTAAAATTTATTAACTATATCAATAGTATGACTTCTACCTATAAAGGAAGAACGGTCACTGGATTTAACATTGATTCTAAGTTAGCTGGACAGATACATCAATGCAACCACATCACAGATTCACCTTCTTACTCTAACATGAAATAGAATTCTATGCCTTCTTTCCTCTTATCTCTAAGGACAAGGCAAGTGTCTTTCTAATAGGAATAGCTTCACTGTATTTGTTCTAGATTCTAACTTTTCTTACCATCTTAAGGATACTGCTCCATCAATCATCACTGTGTATCTTTAATGACTTCTTATCTACTGGACTTTTTTGGCATAAAAAATATTTAAGTCTTTTCCCATCATAAATTCCTCTCCGTTCCTTTTCTAGCTGCCATATACCTCTTACTCTTCCCTTGCAGCCAGGCTGGAGACAGAAAATCTAATATTCATCATTTACTCTCACGCACACTCCTCAATTCAATGTGACTGCTGCAACCACTGTAATGAAATGCCTTTCACCAAGCTCAAAAACCACTTATAAACAAATTAAATGGGTGCCTTTTTTAGCCAATCTTTCTGTGGCATTGAATGCTTTCCTCCTCCTCCTCCTGTGTTAAGGATTTTGGCTTCTGTTACACTACTTTTCCTTAGATGAGTCATCTCTACAGTTTCTTCTAACTTTCCTGTGGGCTCATTAAATCCTGACTTAAAGTAAAAAAAAATAAATAAATAAAAAAAATCATGTTTTCAGTCCCCAGCTCACTGCTCTTCTGAATATGTATCTTCCCATAGGTGATTCCTCAACCTATGGTTTTAACTGCTACCTAAGACAGACAATTCAAATTCATAACTTAAGCCAGTTCTCACCCCTGAACTCTAGTCCAATTCGTCTAAGTACCTAATGGAAATTGCCACAGAGCTATTAATTTCAAGGTATCAATTTTACAGCAAATTTTCTTATTTACCATCTTAGTAAATGTCAGAGTCATCTCCCCCCCCCTCTTTATTTACATGTAATCTTAATCAAGTTCTATTATTTCTATCCACTAAGGAGCTCACAAATCCATTCTCCCCTGTCTATATATACTTACTACAACTAATTTAACTTTAGAAGCTCCTGTGGCTTAAATTTCAGGACAGCCTCCTTTCCTCTGGAGGCTGAATAATGGCCTTTGGGCTTCTTACTGGGTGCCCCCTAATCTGTCTTCTAGTGTTCTCAAGACACGCTAAGATGGAAATTTAATAATGTTCTCCTATTAACCACCCAATACTTCTTACAGACTTTAAGAGAAGATCAAAACAACAAACTCATCTTTCATGATCTGAGTGCCAAGTTTAGCCCCAGTCTAATTTTTGCTCCACATTTCTAACGAGTCTTTTGTTTCAGTAACACCAAATTATTTGCTGTTCCCTTAGCTAAATGGTATCTTCTGCCACACCTCCTTGCTTTCGTAGCTACTGTTCTTTTTGCTAAGAATACCTTCAGTTTTGGTTCTTTTGTTTAATTTACCACTATTCATATTTGCAGACTCAGATCAAACACTCCTTTCTCTATGCAAACTTCCCTGCACTCGTTCTGTTTCCTTACACTCCAAATCAGTTGAGATAGCTGCCTCAATCTAGACAGTCAAGATATTTAACAATAATTATCATGTACAATTGTCAGTCCACTTCTCTGTCACCGTCAGACTGTAAGCTTCTTGACATCAGAGATAGACAGCTGTCTTTTTCGGCTTCCCTGGTGGCCCAGATGGTAAAGAATCTGCCCACAATGCAGGAGACTCAGGTTTGAACCCTGGGTCCGGAAGATACCCTGGAGACTGGAACGGCTACCGCTACCCACTCCAATGTTGCTGCCTGGGAACTCCCACAGACAGAAGAGCCTGGTGAGCTACAGGACTGAGCGATTAACACTCACTTTCAACCTTGTGTAGAACAGAGTGTTATACATAGAATGTATTCAAACACTTGTTGACTAAATGAAGAATTATTACTGTTAAAATGTAAAGTAACATCAAATTCACATACTTTATATAAACAAGATATTTATTTGGAAGCAAAATTAGGGCAGTGTTGTTAAATAGACTTTGAAGGAGAATGTAGGCAACTTTGGGGTTTTGGTTGGGAGACTAAAAAAGAGAACTTAACTGAAAAATGAGGGCTATGATATGAAATTAGAAGTCTAAACATAAACTAAAAATATAGTTGAATTAAGCATAAACACATTTAAAAAAATACTAAGCCTTCAAAAGTCTCATTTTGTTCTTTCCTATAGGTACAGGGAAATAAGAAATGATATATATATAAATCATGTGTACAAACAGGTGATAAAGGTATAAAACATCTATAAACAGCTCAAAATAGCTTCATATCTATGTATACAATAATTAATTAAAACTGCCAGTAACTGGGCTCAAAAGTTTCTTAATTTATTAAACTGAACAATTTAAGTTGAAGACTTTTAAAGTATGATAAACTAAAACAAAATAAAAAGCTAGTCTCTGCCCTCAAGGAATACATAATGTAAACTGGAAAATAAAGTAAAGGAATCAGTGCTGCCCACATCAACAGAAAACCTCTGTATAGGAAATATCATCACATGAGGAAATACTACATTTCTTATTCTTTGTAAATACTGTGATCAATAAGTAAAATTTATAAAGGCAAAATTTACAGAATGACAAATTCTTATCAAGCAAGCCTTAGTTTTCTTCTTTAAACATTATTAGTCGCCTGTCAGATGGCATCCGTTTTCATATTTCACATCAATTTTACACCAATGCTCATCAATCTAACAGAGGCCACCCTGGTGGCTAGCAGCAGAGCACCCGCCTGCAAAGCAGGAGAGCATCTATAACGCAGGAGAGGTGAGTTCGATCCCCGGGTCAGGGAGACCCCTGGAGAAGGAAATGGCAACCCACTCCAGTATTCTTGCCTGGGAAATGAGGAGCCTGGCAGGCTACAGTCCATGGGGTCATGAGTCGGACACGAATTAGTGACTAAACCAACACCGTCAATCAATATTTGATAATAAAAATGTGCTCTGATGGGAAACAAAGCAAATGCCAATATTTTTGCTACAGCTGTGGCTGACAAGCTGATGCAAGTGTGAGTAGATGTAACTTCCTAATTTTTCTACTATTCAGAACATATCAGACAATTACACAGGGTTAATTCTGAAAAATCTGTAATTTGTTTTATTTAACTATATCATTTTGAGTTTGAATATGTAATTTTCATAAAGGATAAGACTTATCTTTAAGTATCTCAGGTATGGTAAGGCCCTTAAAAGTTTTTTATTTTTCTATTTTAGCATTCTGACTTTAGCCAGTGTCTAGAATGTCTGAGTCTATTGTTCAGGGGAGAATTTAATATTTTCATTAGAAAACTCCAGTTTTCATGTTGAAAACTACCAGAAAAGTTTTCACGTTCAACTTATGCTTCTGCTAGTGGGCAAATTTAGAAAACAGATCTGCACTTAGAGGACAATCTTACATATCTTTAAATAAGAATGAGTCCCTCAACTATTAGAACTGCTAGAATATAGACTATGGTGCTCCATGGGCCCCTTTTAAAACAATGGATTCCTTGATCTTCAGGATTAAAACACACACTTACCACAATCTGGTCTTCAGACGCAGTTGAGACACTACTGTCATCAAAGTAGTACCATTTTCCATCATCTTTATTTTTTGCGAAAGCAGTATCTAATGAAAAAAATACAATCACTTCTATGATCTGTGGTTTTCTGGGAGGGAACCCTCATGACTTTAAAATTGTCTATATGAGGAATACCTATTAAAATTACATGATAATCATCTATGTTAGGCCAATCTATCATATATTCAACTGATTCCAATGATCAAAGGTTTTTAGAATAATTTTTTATAATCTGGAAGTCTATGATATTTCCTATCCCAGTCTTTTTTATCCATCCCAGGAACATACAGGACATATTTATTATTATTTTTATACGCAGAATAACAACATTAATGACAACAAATGGTGATTAGCATTTGTATCGGGCCCAGTGCTGTATTATCTCATAAAGAAGGTGTTACCATTACTATTCTTCTAATTTTACAGATGAGGATAGTGAGGCATCAGGAGAAGTTTAATTTGTCCAAGAGTATAGCTGTTAGGCAGCAGGTTAGGATTTAAATTCAACTCTGTTTATGATTCCAAAGTTTGAATTTTCAAGTGTAAGTTTAAATTTTCTATGACCAATATTTTTTCAACAATACTATATCTCATTGATCTGTAGTGTTGTTGCTGTTTTTTTTTTACATCAGAATCATTTCCAGTCTTTAACAAAAGTACAAGGAAAGAGAAATGTAAAAAGCAATCAATTAATCTGCACAAACTTTAAAGATCTGCTTTATCATTATATTAAAAAATTGCCCACTTTTCCTATCTCATACTTTGTATAAACTACCCAATAACTGAAGAAATAAAGCTGCAAAATGTACTCATAACAATTATCTGCTGTCATAACTTTTAAAAAGTGACATTATAGATTTTGTCTTCTAAATAGTCCTACTCCTCTTAAAATTATTCTTCTGCATGAAGCCCACTATGGGTTGTAAATCTGTCAATCTGAAATCAAGTCGACCACATTCACAAATTTAAAGAAACATTTTCAGACCTATAAGTTTGACACTGAAAGGACAAGATTTAACAATAATATTGGGCTTCCCTGGTGTCTTAGCGGGTAAAGAATCCACCTGCAATGTCCGATACCTGGGTTCAATCCCTGGGTTGGGAAGATCCCCTTGAGGAGGGAAAGGCAACTCACTCCAGTATTCTGGCCTGGAGAATCCCATGGACTGCATAGTCCATGGGGTTGCAAAGAGTCGGACATGACTGAGCGACTTTCAAAAAAATAAAAAAATAACAGACACATCTAACAAAAAGGCACACAGAGTTTGCAAACTAAATGATGGTATCAAAAGAAAGCTGAACTAGTATTTGTAATTCTGAGAAAAAGACAAAATAAAAAATGAGTATCAAACTCAGGTAAAAAAGAATAGATAAAAGAAGAGCTACCCGTTCTAAATATAAATGCAACTAATAATGCAAAATACCTAATAAAACTGTTAGATGAAACAGATAAATCAACATTTTAGTAGTAGTCCTGACAAATTTATCTCAGAAAAAGAATGAACATCAAAAATAACCAGAAATAGTAATGATTTAAATACAACTAATAAGTAAGTGTAATAGAAATAGAGAACTCTATGTTTGAATGGGGAATACATACGCTTTTAAAGTACATAAACATTTAAGGAGCAGATAATGTATTAAGCTACATGAAAGCCTTAATAAACTCCTAGGTTTAATACAGATAATGGCCCTAATTGCTATAAAATAAAATTAAGAAAAAAAAAGGAGACCTTTACAAAAAACATATACTTGAAAAAGCATATGAGATAATCTTGTGATATTCAGAAAATTATAAAGGAAACAAAAACATACACAGAATTGAAAGACAAAGAAGACTACAGTTAAAAATTTATGCAATAGTGATGAAGAAGTATTTAAAGGAAAACTTATAGCTTTAATTATAGCCTTCAACAGAGGGAAAAGAAGAAAAACAAAGTTAAGCATGTAACTCAAGAAACCAAAGAAAGAATAAAAGAGCAAACTCAAAGTAACAAGAGAAAAAAATCAACAAGATAGAATACATACCATGTATAACAAAAAGAAAAACATAATAAAATAGAAAGTCTAATTCTTTGAAAAGACAGAAAAGAACAAGGGACAAAAATATGGCATAAGAGTATTATAAACAACTATTCTCAAATAAATTTGGAAATACACATTTTAAGAAAAACGGAGGATGTCAGTATGTACACATTCTGGAAAAAGAAAATCAATAAACATGACATAAATAGAATAATTTATGGCTCTGAAGTTCAGATAATTTTATTGGATGGATTCTACTAAACTTTAATGACTAGTTAATTCTTATATTATACTAGCTGCAACAGGAAACATAAAAATGGTAAAGTGTCCTAGCCTGTTTCATTAGACTAGGTAGTAATCTTGATTCCAAACTCAGACTTAAATTGAAGAAAGTGGGGAAAACCACTAGACCATTCAGGGATGACCTAAATCAAATCCCTTATGATTATACAGTGGAAGTGAGAAATGGATTTAAGGGACTAGATCTGATAGAGTGCCTGATGAACTATGGATGTAGGTTCGTGACACTGTGTAGGAGACAGGGATCAAGATCACCCCCGAGAAAAAGAAATGCAAAAAAGCAAAATGACTGTCTGAGGAGGGCTTACAAATAGTTGTGAAAGGAAGAGAAGCAAAAAGCAAAGGAGAAAAGGAAAGATATACCCATGTGAATGCAGAGTTCCAAAAAATACCAAGGAGAGATGAGAGAGCCTTCCTCAGTGATCAATGCAAAGAAATAGAGGAAAATAACAGACGCGAAAGACTAGAGATCTCTTCAAGAAAATTAGATACACCAAGGGAACATTTAATGCAAAGATGGGCTCAATAAAGGACAGAAATGGTATGGACCTAACAGAAGCAGAGGACATCAAGAAGAGGTGGCAAGAATACACAGAAGAACTATACAAAAAAGTTCTTCACAACACAGATAACCACGATGGCGTGATCACTCACCTAGAGCCAGACATCCTGGAAAGTGAAGTCAAGTGGGCCTTAGGAAGCATCACTACAAAGCTAGTGGAGGTGATGGAATTCCAGATGAGCTATTTCAAATCCTGAAAGATGATGCTATGAAAGTGCTGCACTCAATATGCCAGCAAATTTGGAAAACTCAGCAGTGGCAACAGGATGGGAAAAAGTCAGTTTTCATTCCAATCCCAAAGAAAGCTCAAACTACCGCACAACTGCACTCATCTCACACTAGTAAGGTAATGCTCAAAATTCTCCAAGCCCGGCTTCAGCAATATGTGAACCGTGAAATTCCAGATGTTCAAGCTGGGTTTAGAAAAGGCAGAGGAACAAGAGATCAAATTGCCAACATCTGCTGGATCACTGAAAAAGCAAGAGAGTTCCAGAATAACATCTATTTCTGCTTTATTGAGTATGCCAAAGCCTTTGACTGTGTGGGTCACAATAAACTGTGGAAAGTTCTGAAACAGATGGGAATACCAGACCACCTGACCTGCCTCTTGAGAAACCTGTATGCAGGTCAGGAAGCAACAGTTAGAACTGGACATGGACCAACAGACTCGTTCCAAATAGGAAAAGGAGTACGTCAAGGCTGTATATTGTCACCCTGCTTATTTAACTTATATGCAGAGCACATCATGAGAAATGATGGGCTGGAAGAAGCACAAGCTGGAATTAAGATTGCTGGGAGAAATATCAATAACTTCAGATATGAAGATGACATCACTCTTATGGCAGAAAGTGAAGAACTAAAGAGCCTCTGGATGAAAATGAAAGAGGACAGTGAAAAAGTTGGCTTAAAGCTCAACATTCAGAAAACTAAGATCATGGCATCCGGTCTCATCACTTCATGGCAAATAGATGGGGAAACAGTGGCTGATTTTATTTTTTGGGGCTCCAAAATCACTGTAGATGGTGATTGCAGCCATGAAATTAAAAGATGCTGACTCCTTGGTAGAAAAGTTATGACCAACCTAGATAGCATATTAAAAAGCAGAGACATTACTTTGTCTAAAAAAGTCCATCTGGATGTGAGAGTTGGACTGTGAAGAAAGCTGAGCACTGAAGAATTGATGCTTTTGAACTGTGGTGTTGGAGAAGACTCTTGAGAGTCCCTTGGACTGCAAGAAGATCCAACCAGTCCATCCTAAAGGAGATCACTGGGTGTTCATTGGAAGGACTGATGTTGAAGCCGAAATGCCAATATTTTGGCCACCTGATGTGAAGAGCTGACTCATTTGAAAAGACCCTGATGTCAGGAAAGACTGAAGGCAGGAGGAGAAGGGGATGACAGAGGATGAGATGGTTAGATGGCATCACCGACTCAATGGACATGAGTTTGGGTAAACTCCAGGAGCTGGTAATAGACAGGGAGGCCTTGCGTGCTGCAGTTCTTGGGGTCGTAAAGAGTCAGACATGACTGAGCGACTGAACTGAAACTGAAAGTAAGAACAATAAAAAAAAAAACCAACTATAGTATCATTTCACACATGAATTAAATTTTACTTAATCCTAAACAAAACCAGCTAACCAAATCCAACTGAGTATATGAGAAAATACTTAATGAATAGGATTTACCCAAGAACGCAATGATGGTTCTTCAGAAAAACTTATCAACTGGAGAGCACAGACTGGTATCATCATCTTGGAGTGCCCTCTCACAGTACTTTACTCCAACCCAGCATCTTACATCTGGGTGTGTAGCTCAAAGAAATTCTCACATAGGAGACTAAAAACAATGATGTTTATTGTTCTTGAGATGGTAGAAAGTTAAAGTTAATCTGGATGTCCACCATGAAGTGAAAAGAGAAATAAAATATGGTAGATATAAGTCATGAGTGTGTTCAATGGAAGGACTGATGCTGAAGCTGAAACTCCAATAGTTTTGCCACCTCATGCGAAGAGCTGACTCATTGGAAAAGACCCTGATGCTGGGAGGGATTGGGGGCAGGAGGAGAAGGGGACGACAGAGGATGAGATGGCTGGATGGCATCACCGACTCCATGGACATGAGTCTGAGTAAACTCCGAGAGTTGGTGATGGACAGAGAGGCCTGGCATACTGCGATTCATGGGGTCGCAAAGAGTCGGACACAACTCTTTTTGAGCGACTGAACTGAAGTCAAGAGTGGTTAGAAGCAATGAATTAAACTGACATAAAGTAATACGGAGAAGTCTTAAGGGTCAAGAGAGAAAAGTAAAAGCTACAGCAGAGTAACAATCATATAAATTAACAATGATGCGTGATTTGTGAGAGCACATACAACAAACACCTTAGAAAGGGAAGGAGAAGGAGAGTGGGGAAGGACAGGAGCCCTGAATGGACTAGTGATTTCCTGTGCTTTAACTGAGGAGTACGATTAACTCAAACCTCTTCTCTTAAATGGTAAAAAAAGAAAAAGAGGTTAAAAAGCTGATTCATTCATTAATCGACATCTACTGAATGACTACTGAATGTAAGACGCATCTCACATTTTTCTTTTAAGAATAAATATTTTAAGGAAAAAAGTCTGGCCTTATTAAACATCATGACTTTAGTAAAAAGGTAAATTATCAACTTACAGTGTCCTCCTCCCATTCCTCCATAGTGGTTGGAAACAGCAATCAAATTATAGCGGCAAGGACCTGCATTTGGATTAATTAGGAATTCTGACATATCCAAATCACTGTTTAAAAAAGAGATGAAGTTAATTTTATGTTTCCCCTAAGTGTAATGAAATTCTACTCTTCAGTCAGTGTTATTTGACTCTCATTTAAATATACTCCTATACACACACACACGCATATATATATATCTCATTAAAGAAGTTACTAAGAGCCAAATAACTATAAAATAATATAAATATCTTTGAGATTTGAGTGTTTCAGCAAAAATTTTCTTTGGGATTCAGAATTTAAAAATTCTCCACTGACCATTTGTATTCAGATTAGTATTTTCATGCTAATACATTTCTTAGTATATGAGAAAACATAGACATCACCATTTATCATGTGGGTTCATTTTTAAAGTCATTTTCAGAAATTATTTAAGCAAGAATAAAGGGACAGTGATGGCTCAGAGGTTAAAGCGTCTGCCTGCTACACGGGAGACCTGGGTTCGATCCCTGGGTCGGGAAGATCCCCTGGAGAAGGAAACGGCAACCCACTCCAGTATTCTTGCCTGGAGAATCCCATGGACGGTGGAGCCTGGTGGGCTACAGTCCATGGGGTCCCAAAGAGTCGGACATGACTGAGCGACTTCACTTTCACTTTTAAGGGACAGTGAAAAAACACTTTCTTAGAAATTTTATCCTAACTTGAATATAAAATATATTTAAATATAACCCTAATATCTATTCTCTGTTTTCCAGGTTTTGATGACCTATGCATCCTAAATGGGCAACATTCTCTGAAATGCAACCAGCTGTTTATAACTTATCACAAACAAAACTGGAATATGACCATTTTATAGTTTATCTTTTTTTATGGTTATTCTTTTTGTATTTGTCTAATTAAAAAGTAATAACAATTGTAAATTTCAAATAGATATCTAATAGATTTAGCTTATCATTACTTTTGTTTCTTCTTTTACTCATATTTTCAAAATGCTGTATTCTTGAAAAGTTTGATGGCTCATAATTTTGTTTTGCTAAAGAGAATATAAGCATTTTTATTCTATAATTGCAAAACATTTTCAATTTTAAATTTATAAACATGGATTAGAATAAGCAATCCAGAGAGTGTTTTCAGTATTACACCATCTATTTCCTTCTAGTCACCTCTGCATGCATATATAACACCTGCCTTCAGTATTTCTTTACTTACAAACTGTAGTAAGTAAATCTGGTATACCAATATTATGAAATATGAAAGAATACTGTCAATATTTTTTTTCAGGAGAATGGGAGAGCAGCATGCTCTTTTTACAAAATAGGGTATAATGAAGTCCTTCCTGGACTCCATGAATGAAGATACATTCTTCCCTTTTCGTCCATCTGAATTCTCAATGATTTTAATGAAAGAACAAAAAGACTACTGATATACTGTCTGTAGACTTCTTTATATATTTTTACAAATAGGATGACTTACTCTGGACACTGAAATAAGAAAACCAAAAGATGACAGTAGGAATGACTTACTACTCTACTGCATCATCTGCCTCGTAAGCAATTCCACTATTCACATTAGTCTTTTTAAAAGTGCATTTAAGAATAATGAGGATTAATGATGAAAACAAAATCACTAAGATCCCATGAAGTATCTTAGATTTACAAACAGGGCCAGTGAACTCAAAAGATAATGTAACATAAAATGAGTTTTACGTCTTCTTTTTTTTTTAAATGTATTTTCTCTTTGTCTTTTGAAAGATCTCTTAAGAAAAGCAATAAAAATTGTTATTAATCCATACAAATTGCTAGAACAACCCAAAAAGTACACTCAAAAACTGAAACTGGATCTAAAACAAAACAAATGAACAAATATAACAAAATAGAAACAGACTCACGGATAGAGAACAATCTTGCTGTTGCCAAAGGGGAAGACGGGTGGGGGATGGGTAAATAGGTGAAAAGGATTTAGATACACAATAAGTCAAAAGGACTTAATGTATAGCACAGAAAATACAGTTAATATTGTAGTAACTTTATATGCTGTGTAATGAATAAAGATATCAAATATACCACACTATACCACACCTGAAACCACATAATATTTAAAGTCAACTACGTGTAAAAATAAATTAAAAGACACCTATAATTTGGGAGTGATGTTAAAAAAAGTCAGAGGTGCCCAAGGTTTATAAAGCTCAATCAGAACTTACTTGATAGGAAAATCAACTAAGGTATCCAACTTGTCTCTCATGTATCGACTATAAGAAAATCGCTTGAGATGTACCACAAGTACTGGAGGCAGAGACCATAAATCCAATTTCTTTGTGGCTTGCTGATGTTCTTTACAATTGGGACAATACCTAAATATATAAAGGAATATTTAAAGCTTATTAGCGATAACATCAGAGGTAATATTAGGTAACGCCTAATATGTAACAGACTGACAGGAACTTGTTATTTTTAATCAATACATTTTTCAAATAGATTTAACTATTGAAAGTGAGTATGTAAATAAGTATTCAAAGAAATAACGAGGGCTAGATTATTTACATTTTAGTAAGCTAAAAAAAACATGGATGTAGCAAAACTGTGCTGAAATAAAGGTATTAGAAAAATCTTGAGACTTTCTGGACTCAAATTAGTAACAACACAAAACATATTGTGATTTCCCTAAAAAATCTTCTGTTGGAATACCTCCACAGCTAAAAGTTCCTGGAAAAATGTAACTAAAATGAATTATTCATAGTAAAATGGCTATTATGGAAAATATACTAAAACAAGATTAAAGTTTAACATTAATACACTTTTAAAGACATTTCATTCCTCTTAATATATTATTAGCATATAAACAAATGCTTATTGTTTAAAATATCAAAGGGAATTTAACTATTACTTTTTCAATTTGATGTAGCACATACCTCAGTATATATCCTTAAAAAATAATTAGAAACAATTATTTAATTTTGTCTCTTACCAGGGATCTTCAGCACCTAGCTTTTCTTTTGTTGTAAAAAGCTCAATGCAATCTTTTAATTTCACAAAGGGTTTTTTAGGAGGTTTGTATTCCACACTTTCATGTTTTTCAAAATCCTAAAGAGAAGTATTTCTTGAGTTAAGAAAACAAATGAAACAAAACTCATTTTAGTGATATCATATTACTATGAATAGTCATGAAAAACTCCTAAATGTTCTCAAATAAATCAAAAGCTTATTTCAGCTGAGATTTACAGTACTTCTAACATTTTCTGTATACACACCTATACGGACAATCAGAAAGTTTAAATAGCAGGTTCAAAGAAGATGAACCTTTTCTCTTTTAACACATAACCACTTCTAAAATTGCAAAATAAACATACTTGGTAGAAGAAAAAGAGTGTAACAAAACAGTGTGATCAATATGGAAGAGAGAAAGAAGGAATGAGCGATGACTTACCTCAGCAGCATTTTCATCAAAATATCTTTTTTTCAAATCAGGATCCCAATCCAAAGCAAGGAAAGACCTTTCTAAGGTGGAAAACATATTTTTTTCTTTAAGATTTAATATGTGGTATTAAGAGTTAATATATTTTAAGATATAAAATAATACATTTTAAGATATATAGCAGAATAGAGATTGCTATACTAGGTGATCACGGTACTTTGCTGTTTCCAAGCCATTAAAATATTTTAAAGAGGATACAAAACTTAAGTGTTAAGTCCAATCTTCATTTAATAAACACTGACGTGTTTTAGTATACTTAGAAATGAAGGCTTTTCATTTAAACATGTAGGTAGATAAGTAAATGTTACTTCTCAGGACAGTGTTGAATTTCAAAGTTTCACCTCAAAAAACAAACAAAAATCCCCAACACACTTTGGTCAAGTTTAGTGTTTAAGTCATTTTCCACAAACACTTACCATCTAACCTAAGCTGCCTATCGTCAAATCTTATATGCCTGGTATCATCTTTGATGTAGTTGATATCAGTATTGCCTAAGTTGTTGAACTGGAATGTAAACAATCGCTTTTTGTGTCCCGTGAGTTGACCTCTGCAAGTCTCTTCAGTACATAATCCATTTTCAGAATCATTATCACCTCCAACTGAATCTTCAGACTGACTGTTCTCATTCTCGGAGGGCAGTTCTTGATCCTGGCTGGATTCATCATCTGGCTCATCTGTTTCCATTTCACCTAGTATTAGATAGTAGAAATCTTTATACAAACCCAATGCTACATTACTAATACTTATTGATATGAACACCCCCTCCCCACCCCCGGCCCCCGGCTTGCAGATATTGTTAAGTTCCTTAGTCCTCATCCTCTCATTTTCCCTCTGCAGCAGTAACCCCAGAGAAAATTTCACAATGTAACACGCAAGTCTTACTCGGCGAGCCTTCCTCGTGGATGCCGTTCGGGCCATTCCCATTGATGTTTTGGTCCTTACAGCACTGTAGGGGTCCTTCAGAGTCTTCAGTGTCAGAAGATATTTTGACATATCGGCTGAAATAACATCAGAATCAAACAAGTTCAGTTCTATTAAGATGAAAACTTATAAAAGTTTTCCATTCTTTCAATATAACAAAACTTTTATTGCAATTAACAATGATCATTTAGTGGATTCAATGATAAATTCAGACTCAAGGTATGGTACCACAATCATCTGTGTTTGGCTGTCTTAAAAGAAATAAATTAATTTGTTACTTCTAGGATTTTAACGTCTTCCTCTTTCATGTTAAAAGTTCATGGAAAATAATTTCATAAAATTATTTTCTAAAGATCCTCATTAGATGATATATATATAGTATGGCTAAGATCACTTACAGATTGTAATGTGATCTTTACGTATGGGTTATTGGACTATAATGATTAAAACAGGTGTGCAAGAAAGAATACTAAATATGTCAGTTATAACACATAAAAGAGGGAGTAAATGTCATTCTTGATTACTTTAATTCAAATCAAGGTTCAATTAAAAAAGGTGTTGCCTTACAAAAGAAAGAACCATAAAAGCTTATCCTTTTAAATAAAACTATTTATTATTATGAGTTCTTGTTATCAGTATGAGCACTGTGTATAAAGAAGTGAAGCATAAGACATTTGCTATGATTTCAAAGTGCATACATGATAAACTATTTTCTTCCAACTATAAACTTTTGGTGTAAAACAACTAAGAGAATTTATGCTTCCTCTATTTGAAATTATCTCAGTGAAGTGTTTCACATGATCAAGAAACTGGATTAGCCTATAATTTTATTTCTTACACTGCTACCTGTCTAAACAAAGCTAATATAGATGACTAATTATATTTTGTTAGTACCTTGCATGTTTACTTTTATTAGCTATTTAGTATTTAATTTTGTTAATATAGAACTGTTTGGCACTTACCACATTCTCACAAGCAAAAGATTATAGAGTTTATCTTCAGTATTGTTTCGTGGAACAGCCATAAGAAAAGGCTGACCAAAAAGTGAAGAACCAGTATGGTGGGTGTAACTTGAGTGTCTAAATTTTTCTCTCAGGCAAACAGGAATAATCACATGCTCTGTATCTTCTGTCCTATTTATGTTAATCTCAAACCTGCAAGGATAAAACTGACTATAAACTTTGAAAATTTTATGATACTTCCTTTCAACTTATTCTCAAGAAATATTTGTGCAATGAATTTCATACTTACACATAAATATCATCCCGTTCCATAATACTACTAAGATTTTCATCCATTGCAAATATTCTGTGAAATCTATGATTGTATATATCAGTAACTATCATCTAAAAGGAAATAAATTTCTATTAAGCAGGGTTTACAAACAGTGAAAAACTACACTCCAACTTACATACTTTAAACCCAGAAACATCCTACCTTATCTGCAGGTACTCCTGACAAGAGAGACAATGCTGTACAAAGATCAAGTATGTTTCCAATTTTGGGGACAACCACTTTGTACTAAAAAACAAAAAAGAAAATTGCAATGACTTTATTACTTTGGAAAAAATACTCACTAGTTGAGACTAAGCTTCTGGTTGCTTCCTCACATTCACTTGGCATCTGGCCCACAGTGTCTGTCTCCAATCTTGCCATTGTCCTGGGTGACAAAGTCCACATGGACAGTTTATCTTAGCCTTATTATTCCTTCACTGCTCAATTCAAAGGCCTACACTTGCATTTAACTGTGGTTCACTTCTCAGACCTTGCCATCTCCTTTTCCACCTTTGATATCTTAAACTCTTAACTGTCTAAACACTAATTACTCTTTCTGGAAACCCATTCTTTCCTATTCTTGGCTTGCATTGAGATACCTAGTCCTTTTAACTCAGTTTTTTCCACTGGCTCCTTACTATCTCCATGCCCTTCCATCCCCATGAGTCATCCCTTCAACTATTCCATTGCAAAAACTTTAACTACCTTTATTTTTCAGCTATTCAGTTTTATTCTTGCTATACTTTCTTAGAGTTGTTTAGATATGCTGGAATAAACTGCCCAACTTTATAGACTGGTGTACTACAAACTCACAGTGCCCAATCTCAACTGATCCTTCAACACTAGCCAGGAATTCGTCTGTGTCTCCTTTATTTGCTTATTCTTATTTCTCTCAATAACTATTTAAAATCGTCACCACTTCTTAGGCTTCTTATTTCACCACTACTCCTCTCACTATCAGCGGAATACCTATCTGAGTGAGAAAACAGCCTAGGTGATAGGAAAATCTCCAACTTACTGTTTCCCCTGTAAACTTGAGTCTAAAAAGTCCTTTTCTCTGTCTCTTTGATACAAGGAAAGAGAATCAGCTGGTAATCTTCCCATTCTACTGCTGCTGCTGCTGCTGCTGCGTTGCTTCAGTCGTGTCCGACTCTGTGCGACCCCATAGAGGGCAGCCCACCAGGCTCCCCCGTCCCTGGGATTCTCCAGGCAAGAACAGTGGAGTGGGTTGCCATTTCCCATTCTACAAGTACTTAAAAAGATGGAAACAATTAAAGAAAAAAAAAAAAAAGGCTAACCCTGGCATCTATATATTCTCTTCTGACTCCTCGAGAACATAAACTCAGCAATTATCCTTTATTTAATTTTATCTTGGTGGCTCAGACAGTAAAAAATCCACCTGAAATGTAGGAGACCCATGTTCTATCCCTGGGATGGGAAGATTTCCTGGAGAAGGGAAATGGCTACCCACTCCAGTATTCTTGCCTGGAGAATTCCATGGACAGAGGAGTCTGGTGGGCTATACAGTCCATGGGGCTGCGAAGAGTTGGACACAACTGAGCGACTAACACTTTCACTTTACTTTTTAACTCTTATAAAATCAGAAAAACAAAACCATCTCTCATTGCTTTTTAATAATTCTCCATCAATTATCTCCCTTTCTCTTCTGCTTACAAATAGCCTTTTAACTTATCTCCCATTCACTTATTAATCCACTCTTGGCTTTTGTCCTCACCTCTTTAACCGGTGATCAAGGCTGTCAATACTACCATTTAATCAAGTCTTTATCAGTCTTTATTATCTCTCTGCAGCAAGACTGCTGACCACTGCCTCCTTCAAAATCTTCCTTTCCCTACAACACCACTGTATCTTATTCTTTTCTAATGCCTTGGTCAAATCTTCTTTTGAGGGGAGAACTAACCCTCCAGCGTAACCCCTCAGGCTTTTAACTTCGGCATTCTTGATTCTACATGCTCTCGTTAGGTGACAATATATCCCAGTTTGCTTTGGCCAGTCCTGGGTTAACCTGATGTCTTGGAATAATTATTAATATGGCCCTTTTCATTTTTCAAATTGTTCTGGTTTAGACGATCAATTAGGTGATCTCATCCTTCTAAGACATTCCCAACCATCTTCATAGAGCTCACCACCCAATTTCTCTCTCAAGCACAGACCTCTCTCCTCTAGTCTACACACACAAAGTCAATGCTTACTGACACTTCTCCCAATTTTCCTCATGATTCTCAATTTGTCCAACACAAAACACAAATTTAAGTCATGTTAACTCAACATATCCAATACTAAATTAGGCTTCTTCTTAAAACTTTCTTCCTACATCTTCCAGTAAAACAAAGAGTACCATTCTCCTCAGTTTTCCAATCCCATAATATATTTTCAAGTCCTGTATTCAACTGGCTCTTCTACCTGCCTGCCATCCTGATACTCAGCTTAAGAGTCCAAGAAGGCCTTGTCATCTGTCATCTCATCAGTACAAAAAACGTTTCACTTAAGCTTAGTACATCTGATCTAAGCCTCTCCAATCCAATCTTTGCACTAGCCAGTGTTCTTTCTGAAACACAAATCTGGCCATACAATGGCTTTACTTAGTAAGCTTTAACGGCTCCTTTAGTCTTTAGGATGAAGTCCAAGCTTTCTGTGATAGCTCATCAAGCTTCTTTGCGGTGTAGCCTCTGTTTACCGTATCATCTACCCGCAGCTCCAGAGGCGGGCCCTGCTCTCTGCGGTCCAGCCTCTGTTTACCATTATCATCTACCCATAGCTCCACAGGCGGGCCCTGCTCTCTGCAGTCGAGCCTCTGTTTACCATTATCATCTACCTGTAGTTTCAGAAGCGGGCCCTGCTCTCTGCAGTCGAGCCTCTGTTTACCATTATCATCTACCTAGTTTCAGAGGCGGGCCCTGCTCTCTGCGGTCCAGCCTCTGTTTACCGTATCATCTACCCGCAGCTCCAGAGGCGGGCCCTGCTCTCTGCGGTCCAGCCTCTGTTTACCATTATCATCTACCCATAGCTCCACAGGCGGGCCCTGCTCTCTGCAGTCGAGCCTCTGTTTACCATTATCATCTACCTGTAGTTTCAGAAGCGGGCCCTGCTCTCTGCAGTCGAGCCTCTGTTTACCATTATCATCTACCTAGTTTCAGAGGCGGGCCCTGCTCTCTGCGGTCCAGCCTCCATTTACCGTATCATCTACCTGTAGTTTCAGAAGCGGGCCCTGCTCTCTGCGGTCCAGCCTCTGTTTACCGTATCATCTACCCGCAGCTCCAGAGGCGGGCCCTGCTCTCTGCGGTCCAGCCTCTGTTTACCATTATCATCTACCCATAGCTCCACAGGCGGGCCCTGCTCTCTGCAGTCGAGCCTCCATTTACCGTATCATCTACCCGTAGCTCCACAGGCGGGCCCTGCTCTCTGCGGTCCAGCCTCCATTTACCGTATCATCTACCCGTAGCTCCACAGGCGGGCCCTGCTCTCTGCGGTCCAGCCTCTGTTTACCATTATCATCTACCCGTAGCTCCACAGGCGGGCCCTGCTCTCTGCAGTCGAGCCTCTGTTTACCATTATCATCTACCCATAGCTCCACAGGCGGGCCCTGCTCTCTGCAGTCGAGCCTCTGTTTACCATTATCATCTACCTGTAGTTTCAGAAGCGGGCCCTGCTCTCTGCAGTCCAGCCTCCATTTACCGTATCATCTACCCGTAGCTCCACAGGCGGGCCCTGCTCTCTGCGGTCCAGCCTCTGTTTACCGTATCATCTACCCGCAGCTCCAGAGGCGGGCCCTGCTCTCTTTTGCCTCACCCTCTCTCTGTGTGTGCCACTCTCTTGGTATTTATTCCCAATTTTCACGTGCTTAAATCCTAATCATCCTTCAGGATTCAGCACAGGCGTCACTGCCAGTTCAGGTAGGTTACTCCTTCTGTATACTCCTCGAGCGCCCTGTCAGAGAACTCTTTGCACTGTATGACAAACTTCTTGAGAACAAGGACAAGAAATACCTTTGTACATCCAGCACCTTGCATAGTATGTGAGTTCAATATATAATACATATTCAAAGCAATTACTAACAAACTTCTTAATTTAAATCAACTTCAGTGATGGGAAAACTCATTAGATGGGCTAACCAAGCTAATTCCTTTTTCTCCAGAGCCTATGTTCCCACTTTCTATCTCCCTGCCCTGTGAGGATGCATCTGAGGAGGCATACATCTGTAAGTGAGGAAGACAGTCAGCATTAGAAACCACCAAGCTGGTTCTCCATTCTTCCATTTCCGGCCTCTAGAACTGTGGGAAAATAAGTTTATGTTATGTGACTCAGTCTTGGTATTTCATTATGGTGGCCTGAGCAGACTAACATAACTAATACGCTCTAATAGACTGCAATTCTGGCTGGAACCTACACTAGGATTTTAGTAAACAGTTTTTTAAAGAATGAACTACGTTTACTTTGTTTACCAGAGCTTTAAACTCAGAAAGTACCCAATACATATTTGAGTGAATAAAATTTTTGAACACTTCTAAGTCATGAGGGTTGGGAATAAAAAGATTTCCAAAGTTCCTTTCTTCGAAGAATTCACGGTCTAGGGGACAAAATTTAAATTAAACCAAAGGTCATACAAAAATTTGGTAAGTGTTATAATATTTTATTAGGGTAGGTCAAATATCAGAAAAGGATTAACTGATTACGAAAAGGAAAATATGTAGTGCTTTGCTTCAAAAAATGTAAAACAACCCAATTATAACAATAGGGAATGGAATCAGGCAGACAATAGATATTAAAGTCTATCACAGGGTTCTTGCATAGAATAAAGTTCTATTCTTGTATAGACTAACCAAACTATTAAGAGATTAGAACATTACTGAAGCAAGTATTTTTACCCTAACTAAATTTCCACTTCTCTTCCAAGTTCTTAAAATGCTTAACTATTACAAGTATTTAAAATATACCAATATCTTATCATATCATAAATCAAAATATACAGCAAATATTAGATTCACTTCCAATAGCCAGTAGGAAAAAAATTACAATGAACATTAAAGACAGTTCCAGTTGGAAAACTGGATAAATAATACTATATTATTAATCTTTGTAAGCTAATAATCCTAACAATATTGTAAAATCAAACCACCTCTCATTTTTTCTTTGATAAGAAAATGCCTTTGAGAATTTTGCTTTTTACATGACGAGTTGTACTAATTTTCAAAGTATTCAGTGTATAAAAATCTCTTACACACTGAATTGTACTTAAGGCATAAGGACTCAGCACTAATTTTTCTTAAAAATAACAAATGCAAAGAAAAGAATCATTACTTACCTGCATAGGTTTGGTAAGTGGATCCATTCTGACTAAATAAACTTCCAAGGTACGTTCCTTCTTCATGGGCAATGGAAGTGTCAAGTAACAAAAAGGATCAAATGTTACTGAAATCTTAGCACATTCGGGACAAACTAAAGTTGACTTAAAAAGGCCATGAAATATATCTACTATGATAGAATCATTTCTTTTTAAATGGTTTTCCCAGGCTTCTTCAGCAACTACCTATAAGGAAAACAGACATATATTACACAGAGATATCACATTATTGTAATAATGTTGACAATAATATGGTTAAATTTACCTTATCTGGTCTTCCATCAGCATCTTTTAATTGTATATATGGTTTTTTCCTAATTCTATTCAAATCCTCATGTAGTCCATCTAATAGGAAAGCTAATAGTTCTTGACAGTCCTGCTGCTGGTATCCAGAGAACTGAGGTGCAAAACGTCCTACCTGTGTCTGTAAGAAAAGCAAAACTATAAAATCAGTTCTAGGGACTTAAAAAATATACAGTCGATATTCCATATCTGTGAATTCATCTACTTCTTAAAATTTATTTGTAATCCTGAAATCAACCTGTGGCACTTTTCCAGTAATTTGCAGATACGAAAATTACATATGGATAAATACACATAAATACATATCTAAAAATATTTTAATAATGGTAACTAATCTATAAAATAGAAAAGAAACGTTGACTTGAGGAAAGGACAATGAGAAAACATTGCAGTTTTGTACAAAGAATTGGGAAACACTAAAGACTTGCTCTTAGTGGAAGGAATTCCATGAACAGAGGAAGCTTGGTGGGCTACAGTCCATGGAGTCGCAAAGCGTCATGAAAAGAGGAGCCTGGTGGGCTACAGTCCATGGGTTTGCAAAGCGTCGAATATGACTGAGCTCACACACACACACAGACTTAAAATTCAGTAACATTTTTGGGTCACTTGAAAACTACAGTGCTCTCATTCAGCTCCTGTGTTTAAGGAGGATAAATCTCGTAGAGACAAAAGGAATATTCATGCTCATATATAATTTTTCTAGCCATTGCAGTGCTAAGGATTTTTTTGATGAGACTGAAAAGAAATGTGAAAGAAAAAAGTCAGGTTTCAAGGACCTATTTACAATGTAATTTTAAATGAGAACATCTTGTAAAATGAAAATAACTGGAATTATGGATAAAGGCTGAGGAATGATTTGTCTAAACCAGCTGGTCCAAAGATTGGAAAGTTAAGGAACAAATGCAGGAGTTTTTCTGCTTTGTTGCTATTTATTTTTAAAGAGCTAGCATACAGTTAATAAAATGTTGCCCAGTTGATTTCCTATAAGAAAATCATTTAAGTTGTATAAAAAGTGATTGAAAATTGCTGGGAAGAGCTCCTGGAGGAGGAAACAGCAACCCAATCCAGTATTCTTGCCTGGAGAATCCCATGGACAGAGGAGCCTGGCAGGGTACAGTCCATGGGGTCGCAAGAGTCAGACATGACTTAGTGACTAATCTACCACCATCACCATACTCAATATTTAGTGTTTGCTTTGAAGACTAATTTCAGTAATTTTTCAAACTTATGACTCTCAAAATAAGAGTTCTTAGAGCTTAATGACATGCCCAAATTTAGTCTTTACATTTGTATAAAATATTTACGTAGGTTTCTTAGAGATAGGCTATATTCTAAAGCAATCTGCTGTTTGTCTGTTGTCATTTTGAACCATACCTGTATTTCTCAACTTTTATTTATTTCCTTTACCATCTCGCAGAACTCTTTTTGGATATTTTTTCCCCCAATTATTTTTATTAGTTGGAGGCTAATTACTTTACAATATTGTAGTGGTTTTTGCCACTCACTGACATCAATCAGCCGTGGATTTACATGTGTTCCCCATCCTGAACCCCCCTCCCACCTCCCTCCCCATCCCATCCCTCTGGGTCATCCCAGTGCACCAGCCCTGAGCACTTATCTCATGCATCCAACCTGGACTGGCGATCTGTTTCACACTTGATAATATACATGTTTCGATGCTGTTCTCTCAGATCATCCCACCCTCACCTTCTCCCATAGAGTCCAAAAGTCTGTTCTATACATCTGTGTCTCTTTTTCTGTCTTGCATATAGGGTTATCGTTACCATCTTTCTAAATTCCATATATGTGTTTGGTGTTTTTCTTTTTGGCTTCACTCTGTATAATGGGCTCCAGTTTCATCCACCTCATTACAACTGATTCAAATGAATTCTTTTTAATGGCTGAGTAATATTCCATGTGTATATGTACCACAGCTTTCTTATCCATTCCTCTAAAAATATGGAACGCCTCACGAATTTGCGTGTTATCCTTGCACAGGGGCCATGCTAATCTTCTCTGTATCATTCCAATTTTATGTTCTGCCGAATCGAGCACCTTTTTTGGACATTTTAAACTAATTATCTATTCTGTACCCCACCCTTAAAATTTAATACTTTATTTGCTGCATATCTATTTATATGCTGAGTCCCTCTGGAGGACCACCAACCATTGTAATAGCTATGATTCTTTGCTCTTTTCCCAGAGACTTCTGTTCTCTTGGGGGTGAAAAGGCCTTGATGAAAATGTCTTTAAGATACTAACCTTAAAGGCTCTTGGTGTGACATAGCTGAACTTTCCAGACCACATTTGCTTGATCAATTCAGCATAAGATTTAGCTATTTCACCTCTCATTCCTAAGGGATTGTCAAAATTCAGTTCTTCTTGATACTTATCATTCAGGAAATATTCAGTAAGTGGAGGTGTATTGCTCAAACACTGCAAAAAATAAGATATATTTTCAAGTAAAAGAAACCATATATATTAAACATACAATGCAGAAACAAAGTGATTATATATATATATATATATATAGAAAAATTTACATTGATGGCCTCTTGCACTAATAAGTAACTGATCAAATAAACATTTAAATGATGTACTCAACTATTCATTTCCCAAATTTCAAGTCAATTATTTATAGTAAATGAAAATGCTAATATTTGTTGCTGCAAAACCTACATTAATTTTAACCACAGCAAGCTACTGGTTAACTGGGAGCGAAGTTCAGAGTTTTTTTCCTGGCAGAAATTATGGATTGTCTAACCATCTCAGGCATTTGCCAATTAGCCTGAGTAGGAGATAAAAACTGAAACGGAGCACAAGCAAGAAATGCACTTTAAAGAGGTATTTACTGCTTCCATTGTCAGTTCATCATCATGAAAGAGTAGACTTCTAAGTTTTCCTTTCGGGTCAAACATTTTCTAGAAGGGACAGGACAGATCAGCTGAGCCTGAGAAAACAAACTTCTATTATGTGAATTCTGGCCAACAGTGTTCTTACTTCCTCCAGCTCTTATTTAATAATACAACAACCCAATTTTACTTTATGGCATGATTAAAATTATGAATAAGTTACTTCTCCAGCTCTGTTCCATTTTGAATAATTTAGGATCTAAAATAAAACAGACAGTGGAAGTACAGTTTTCCCACAATATTTTATCTCAAGCTAAAATAATTTTAAGTTGATAATGCTATATAATGTGACTTCATTTTGAACCCAATATCACTTTATCAATTAGATGTCTTGAGCCATTAAGTAGAATATATAAAGATTGACACAGACATACAGTCATAGAGGTAACTTTTTGGCTGCAGGAAGATATTTATTTTGGAGTACAGTGACAAAATGCTTTAAGTGAAGTTAGCTGTTTGCATGTAAAGTAGTAGAAACCCATTCATAAGAGAGTTCAGAATTTATATTAATGGAAATAAAAGTTTTTCAAAGCTTGCTTACCACTCATAAGAACTAAGTTAAACAGTCTTGGTAACTATGAAAAATTAAGCCTGCTGAGTTTATGTTGATAACCTGGATGTTATAAACTATATGTCATAAACTTTTGGCTAAAACTTAAACACATTCAATCTTAAAAATAAATCATGGTATTATATTTTGTGTTTTCAATTAAAAATCAATTTCTGTGTACTCATGTAACCATGATATATAATTTGGAATTTTCTGTCTAATAAAAATAATACTGTGCAAACTGGTAGTCTGGCCCCAACCTCAAGATAAGAGGGAGAACTCTTTATAATATTTTAGGCAGTGAAAATAATATCAACAGTCAAAAATTGTTTGAGGTGGGCTACAGAGGTTGTTATTTACATGTCATTTCAACAGTAAAAAATTTTATGTAGAAAAGAGGCAGGCTACAGTGTAAGATGCAATCAGGGAAGGATTTTTTTTTTTTTGTACTTTTGCTCTTAACTCCTTTTACATCTCAAACTTCCATAATCTTACAGGCTTTCTCAGTTTCATTTTCTTTTTATAATATATATTGGTTTTATACCCAGCTTGGAGGTAGGGGCCAGCAACCTAGAATATACCATGACTACACAGGGCATAAATGCCATCACTCAGTAGTAGCATCTGATTGAGTACAAACGGGGCCAACACTAAATTGTCAATGAAGCAAAGTGGAGGTAAGATAGCACTTACAACAATTATAAATTAGTTTTCAAATCCTTATATTTTATCAGCTCAGGGTTATACTAAGAATGTATAATATTCTACTACTGTGTGCAACAATTACATAAAGAAGCTAACATTTTACCAAACACTTCAAAGAAATCAAGTTGCGCAAACATGAATAATTCTTGCACTTTGCTTTTACTTAATTATTCATAGTTATCCTTATCTTGCAGAGAGCTGCCAACTATAATTGAAAAATTTTTAGTTTTCCATCCATAGTGATCTTTCTAAAATTTGTCACTAAAATTTAAGACTTGATTATGTCACTTCCTTGCTACAAATCCTTTAATAGCAATTTCAGATTAAAATTTCAAATTCAAAAAGACAACACCTATTAAAAACTCCCTGGCCCCCTTTTGACTTTCATTTAATCTACCATCTGCTTTGTAACAGGTCTCTACTTGGATTTTTAAAGGGAACACTGCTTCTTTTCATAGTGACTCATGCCAGTTTGGAACTGATTATAATTAACTGATAACAAACTAAACAACAAAACACATGGTTTCAGTAAATAATTGCCTGTATTTCCTGTCAAGATATCATAAGCAATACATTTATTAAAATTTATTTTTACATTTTTTTAAAAATTAGAGGATAACTACAACATTGTGTCAGCTTCTGCCATACATGAATCAGCCATAGGCACATAACCTATGTATCCTGAGATAAACCTTATTTTTAAATGTGAACTATTAAGTCCTAAATAGTCCCCCAAAACATCTTATTTGTTAAAGGTAATGTTTCTAGGAACTCACGACCTTAATTTTTCTAAAAATTTGTATAAATACATACAAACACAGATATTCAATTTTTCTAAGACACAGTCCATAATATTTTAAAAACTAAACTGGTATCAGACTTTTCTTCCACCTCTTGAAAATACCATACTTTTCTCACTCACTGTGAAAATAACGGAGTCATTATATTCTTGAAATAATACAAAAACCAGTTATATATTAAAAGTTCTCTTTTGGTATCAATTTCAAGGTACAATTAGAAAAGAGCTCAAACAACTAAAATATTTTCATGTTCCAGGTGCTATCAGTATTCAGTGTTATTGCTCTGGCAGAACAAAAGAAGCCTACTTCTTAAATTTGCTCATAATACAACTGATTTGTAATTTATGCAACTCATTACTCAATCTTTTATCATAAGGCTTTCTCAGAAACATAAACACCAGAAAATTCGATATTGGACTGGCTTCCATTAAGTACAATATTTTAAAGAATAAAGATAAATTTCATTAATAGAGTAATAAAAACTATAACCAAAGTTCTAAAGCATATCTCTCAAAGATTCTTCTAATATAAAAAACACCACTTTCCTATCTGTTTGGAAGTGTTCCAAGATAATTCCTTTCCTAGGGATATGAATTCCTATATATGTAGACACAGAAAATGTCCTTATTAATTCATAAGATACTTTACTCCAACAACATAATATAGACTAGAAATCATACAACATATGTTGTGCCTATGTGGATGTATCTCTTATTCTCAATACTTTCTGAACTGGAGAAAACAACAACCTGCAAAACCTTCATCCATAATGTACATCATTTTTCTTATAAAAAACTGAGAATTAAAAAAAAAACACCACAAACCCTGAGACTATATATGAATGTATCATAAAAACAAAAAATGATTAAACAATATTAGCAAGTTATTTTTATGGACATTTATGAGTTTTTCTGACTTTCTACTAGTCATATGACATGCTGAGCTTCACCTCTAAAGTGAGCTTCACACTGACTAAATGCCAATACTTCCATAGTAAGAACCAGCTAGCTCTTACAAATTCACATCAAAAAACAAGGTCCAAATATGAAGTAATGTGACTAATCATAAAACACATATCTTAAGCCACATTTTGTTTGCATTGTAACTGTATCCAGAATCAGGCCTAATATTGCATAGAATTCTGTCAAATACCATTTTAAAAATGAAGCAATAATCAGACTGAAGAAAAAGATTCTGTATTAGTAGTTTCAATTCTTTTTTTCAGTCCTACCTCTGTTAACTGCTACCAACCCATCTCCCTCCACCCCCCCTCACGTGTGCATGCTCAGCCGTGTGACCCCACAGACTGCAGCCTGCCAGGCTCCTCTGTCCATGGAATTTTCCAGGCAAGAATACTGGAGTGGGTTGCCATTTCCTTCTCCAGGGGTAGTTTCAATTCTTGATGCAAAAGAGAAAAAGTAAAAAAAACCTACATTAATTAACAGGCAAACGCACTTGTTAACTAGGCTAAATACTCATTTAAACTTTTTATGATCCCTAGGCAAGTTAATAAGTGTGCAAAACTGACAAAAGCATTTGAAGATCTAAGTATTAAAAACTAAGTTGCATATTTAGTATATGGTAATATGAATACTAAAATTTCATATTTAGTATATAGTAGACTTTTGGCATTCATTAATTTTAACCTGTGTGACTCAGCCTCTTCGCAGCTGTCTAACTGGAAGGTTCAGGATGTAAGCTACTGTGAAAAGATGTTGGTCGAGGAAGAATGATGAGAATGGTGTATTATGTGCAAACCGATTATTCTGTGAGCAAATCTGTTCCTCAAAGTGACTTTGTACTTCTCTACTTGTGCTCACATATGCATTTAAAATCAAAATTGCACGTTAAGAACGTGAATTCTTGCATGTGAATTTGAATTAGGGATCTTATGATATATTTCTTAAAGTATTAAGACTGAGCCTTAGCATGTACACTTTCCCTTAGTATGTTCTTCCCCTGTAAGAAATTCCTACTTATTCTTTAAAACTCATCTCCACATCTCAGTACCTCAAAGATAAACTAATGTTCCTTCTTCTGGACTAATTTTATTAACTTGAACTCTTATACTGTCTTTATCCTGAGAGCAGAGTCCATGTCCTATTTGTTTTTGTAACTCAGCATCTAGCACAATGCCTGGCACATACCGTAATAAAGGTGTGATGAACGAATTAAAAACTTCTATGGTAAAGCAGTCCTTAGAGAGACTGAGAACAGTGGGAAAACACTTGACTAAGATCTGAACTGCAGCCTGCTATATAACTATAACCTACTCAAAGCTCTACAAGTTAAAAAAGTCCAAATAATGCCTAAAGAGGGTTTCTTAATGAAGAAAAAGAAACTAATATGAATACTCCAAAAAATAACTATCAAGATAAATCCATATAAGTAAAAGATACGTGAAAGGAAAATATATGGTAATATATTTTCATGAAGACTCTTTCCCTCAAATCAACCTGGAACTAGACA